GACAGGCGGACGTCACGTTTGGAGCAGCGACACCCGAATGGAGCAACGAGGAGCGAACGGCTGGCGCCGCGGCGAGGACGTCTGGTGGTGCTGTTTAGGGACGTCACAGTTGGTGCCGTGGTAGACCAGAATAGAACATCACAGTTGGCGCTGCGACCAGGGGGTGACGTCACACGTGTATCACGCATAGCACCTAACTGACTTGCTAATACCCTTGGGAATGGTATGAATCATCTTCTTCTCCCTCCGGCTATGGGTAAATATCAGGACAGACTGGGTTCTATAGCCTTGGATGGCAACTGGTCTACCTCAGAAAGAAATGCCAATTTGCGGCGGAAAAAAAAATCTGCCTCGTCAGTCATGAATCGAAAGATATATGATTGCCTAAGCGTATATCACGCATAGCACCTAACTGGCTGATTAACTTGCTAATACCCTTGGGAAAGGTATGAATCCTCCTCTTCTCCCTTCAGGTATGGGTAAATAGCAGGACAGGCCGGGTTCTATAACCTTGGATGGCAACTGGTCCACCGCAGAAAAAATGGCAACCTACTGCGGGGAAAAATCTGCCTCGTCAGTCATGTATCGAAAGAAACATGATCGTCTAAGCGTGTATCATGCATGGCACATTACTGACTGACTGGCAGTAAACTTTATCAATGAAGATTGCTGAAAGCCGTAAAGGATAACCCTAATGGCGGTTATATATATAATATATATTATAATTAGAAAAATATATATATTATAAAATATATATTATTATATATATCACATATATATATATATATATATAATATACATTTAATATTTGTAATATAATATACAGTGTAACCCGGATATATGAGACCCGGATATAAGAGAAACCCGGATATAAGAGAGATTTTCTCTGGTCCCAAATTAGAGCCTGCGTTAATGTATATAAAATAGACCAAACCCGGATATAAGAGAAATCCGGATATAAGAGACTTCTCCGGTCCCGACAACTCTCTTATATCCGGGTTACACTGTATAATATATATATATAATATAGTATATATAATATATATAATATAATATATATAATATATATATATATATATATATATATATATATATATATATATATATATATATATATATATATAATATATGATGTAATATATGATGTAATATATCATATATATTATAATTAGAATATATATATATATATATATATATATATATATATATATATATATATATATATATATATATATATATTATAAACAATTAATGTATTTATTCTAAAATTGGACATTATTTTCCGAACAACTTAATAACAATAAACCGAATAATAGAAACCATAATAAGATAACAAATATAGAAAAACAAGTTAATAGTAATGACTTATATTTCTGCATTTTAATGCAATCTTCATTACAAACAAATCATCTTTTAAATAAAAAAAATATGAAAGCTTTTTCAGCGCATGCGCAGTTATCACTTTTGCCTTTTTGATTTGTTCGACAAGAAAAAAAAAGACCTCCCCCCCCCAAAAAAAACGCCATTTTTTGCCAAGGGAAAATAACTCATTTGCGATATTTATTAAAGATAACATGAAATAGCTTTTAGTGATAAAATAATGACCCACACAGGGGGATAAGAGACATGAAATAGCAATGTCGGTTAGGAAGTTAATTAAGAAATATAGAGGGAGAAGCACTGGTTGCTGGAAATCAAAGATAAAAAAAAAATAACGAAAAACAAAAAATAAACGAATTAAAGGAAATAAATAAATGAGGCTATAATGCGTATCCCTAAACATCTAAATATGAATGGGGATCAAAATATAGTGAAATCTGTAGCGACACCGGATGTGTACACCTCAAAGGACAATTAACTAAAACTCGGCTTCAACACAGAGTCTCGAAGCAACCTACCGTTAAATAGGCATAAATTTATCAGTTAGGAAGAACATCTAATCAGATGCCTTCTAGTGACGATGAGCGGTTGCTTTCACAACGAAACTCCTCTCTTGGAATGTCTGGCTCTCAAGTTCAACCCAGTCTTTAAGTAGAACTCATATATACAGTCCACTAGTGAAGAAGCTGAAAAAAAAATGGCTGACTCATTATATCGCTCCAGAAATTAGCTGACATCTTTTGCCTGCTTTATCATTGCAAGAGTCAGATTAGACCAAAAATGGAGTACTTCTGACATATCTGGGCGGGAGCTATACCAATTCCCACTTTCTAGGTTTTCCATGGCAAATGTTCAATTAAGCTCCATTTTTTAGTTCCACCAGTTCAGACTTTTACAGCTAGAACACGCCATGCTACACCCTTATGTAAATTAATTGAAACAACCGCTTTAGTTTCATTTATTTCTCCATACGATCAGTTTTAGACCCACTGGAGTGACAGCGTATAATCGATTTCTATTTTTTCCTCATATGCGGTGGTGTGCAGTACTATGAATCTATTTTCGGGGTGTATGGTTAAATTTGTTTGACCTTCAAAAATATTGTGTCATATGTGATTGGATCAGTTTTTTATCACGCCTAACCACTATTGTCTCGACTGTCGATTAGTTGTCCTACGGCCATTGTCTACGATGGACGTTACTCCAAGGAATCGTACGAAAATTGTAACGCTGCACGAATACACTTGGCAAGCCTTACCAGTGAGCAGTTCAACGTATTATAGATTGGCCCGGAATCTCTGATGATTTCAATCCAATCGAGAATCGGTGGTCAATCTGCAAAGAATGACTTCCTGGAATTGATATAAGAAGTACTAATATGTGCACTGGGTCATGTTTCATTGGAAAAAATACGAAAAAATGTAAATAATAATGGAATTATTCGTTTTATTACAATTAATTTGCAAAAGGGTGTACTTCTACGGAGTTGAATCAACTTTATTTCCCCTGTATTCCAAATATAAATGTAAGAGTTAAATTTCTTGCTCAGGTTTCCAATAAAATGCACCAACATTTCAATTTCAAGATTTAGCCGGCTTTTAAGTTTGAAACCTGATCTGTAAATCATGATCACTAAATCATATTTTAAATAAATACCAACTCTCATATACTGGCTACCATAAATCTTTTTTAAGAAAGATTACTTAGTAAAATCATCAAGAAAATATATTTACGTAGGTTTCGTACAATTTCCTGGTACATATTTTATTCTAGATGCGCTTCACGATCTTCCGTAAAATATGATTTGTTCGATGGCGTTTTGCAAATGTCTTTTGTTTATCGGCTTTTAATTGCGTCAAAGTAATCTGAACGATTTGTTTTGAAAGCCCAGGACATTTGTGATATAAGAACCAGTATTTATATTCCGCCTCACAACACTTCTTGCTAAATCAACGACTAGAATCTAAACGGGACGAATGTCAGGAGAATAATCCATCCTATATTAAATAAAGACGAAGGAAGAGTTAATAATATATGGACAGATTATATGTGTAGAGGAACGTCTCTCTAAACGGTCAGACGAAATCCGGTCGCAAATCATTGAATGGGACCGATTTATATCAGCCGTTTCTATAAATATGCTTTAAATGTCGGTCTTATACAGGAGCCATCTTCCCACAGCCTCGTTGTCAAATTTTGCCAACTCATGGCGCGTTTCAAGCAAGAAGGAAATCTTGGCAGCTTACAAAGGAGAGCGAAGTGGCTTCGAAAATAAAACATAAAATCCCCTTTAACCTGGTTCAACTAATGAAAATGTCATCGAAAGAACTTATTAAGTCATAAATAGTTAAAACTACAGAAGAAAAATCTTTAATCTAAGGAAATTTGATAGCGCCTAACTTTGCAGGAAGTAAGGACATTTTCAGTTTTATTAACATTACTTGCGAGAAGAGCATGCCAATACGGAGACTTGGGGTACAAATATCAGTCAGTCATGTGCCATGCGTGATATACACTTAGGCGATCATGTATTTTTCGATACATGACTGACGAGGCAGATTTTTTTCCGCAGTAGTTTGCCATTTCTTTCTACGGTAGTCCAGTTGCCATCCAAGGCTATAGAACCTGGTCTGTCCTGCTATTTACCCACATTTGTGGGTGGGGGAGAAGAAGAGGATTTATATCTTTCCCAAGGGTATTAGCCCGTAAGTGAATATAATGGATTCGACTGAAATTCGAACTCAGCTCTCCGATTTCTCAATCCGAGTCGCTATCATGCCTTCTCCGAAACCCAATCTACCCATTATGACGACCAGTCTTTTAAGTGTATATCAGGTACATGCATCACAGCCAAATGTATGCGAGATGGTGTCCCGTTTTTGATAAAAGCAGTACATTCTTTCTCTGCACTATAGATAACACTAACGGGGCATAAGATTTGATAGCCTCCAGCATACTCTCTCTTTAAACGATGACTGTTTCAATTGCAGGTTCCGTTTCTGAAACCTGCTTTTGACGAAGACATCTTTAGACGCTTGTTGATGGCTACCTAACATATAGAATTATACACCGGGTTGTTTGACCTCCTAATTGACTAAGCCCTAATGATTAGGTTGTGACTGTGCCATAATGGAGTGATATATTCGTTACCTTTTCTTTCTTGTCGTTTTAACTTAATTATTTAAAACTCACTTCCGGTTGAGAGTGTCAGCTTATAATTTTATTTATTTAAATTTTTTTTCAATTATTTCTTCATATATATTCCTTGAATTATTTGTCTCTCTTTCTTTCTTTCTTTCTTTATTTCATTCTTTCTTTATTTCTTTCTTTCTTTCTCCTCGGCTTTTTGAATTCTTTCTTTCTTTCTATTCAACCTCTGACTATTTGAATTCTTTCTTTCTTTCTTTCTATCTTTCTTTCTTTCTCATCGGCTATTTGAATTCTTTCTTTCTTTCTATTCAACCTCTGGCTATTTGAATTCTTTCTTTCTTTCTTTCTTTCTTTCTTTCTTTCTTTCTTTCTTTCTATTCAACCTCTAGCTAATTGAATTCTTTCTTTCTTTTATTACCTTACATTTTTCTCTTCTTTATTTTTAATTTTCATTCTCTCTTCTTCCTTTCATGTATTTTTCTTTTTCCCATTCTTTCTCATTTCCGTCCTCTCTTCTTATTTTCACTGTTCTTTCTTTCTTTTTCCTTCCTTCCTTCCTTCCTTCCTTCCTTCCTTCCTTCCTTCCTTCCTTCCTTCCTTCCTATGAGATTGTTTCCCCTTCCTTTCTTTGTATTGAGCTTTCTTTCTTCTTTTTCAACTTTCATTCTTCTTTTTCTTACCTTTTCAATTCTCTCTTTTTTCTTTCTTTCTTTCTTTCTTTTAAGCTTTTCCCTTTCTACCTCCTTTTTTATTTATGCCATTATCTTTTTCTCTTTGTCACTCTTTCTTTTTTATCTTTCATTCATTTATTTTATTACTTTCAACGTTCTCCTTCATCATTTCTTTCTTTCTTTCTTTTTACCTTTTTCCTTTCTATCTTCTTTTTTTTATATTTTGCAATCTTTTTCTCTTTCTGTTTCTTTCGTTTTCATTTTTCATTCACTCCTGTTATTACTTTCGCCGTTCTCTTTCTTTCTGCCTCGCTTTTTTCTTTCTTTCTTTCTTTCTTTCTTTCTTTCTTTCTTTCTTTCTTTCTACATTCTTTTTTATTCATTTTACTACCTTTGTCTCTTTCTCTTTCTTTCTTTCCTCTTCAATTCACTCCTTTTATTACTTTTAACGTTCTCCTCCAGCATTTCTTTCTTTCTTTCTTTCTTTCTTTCTCCAATGCAAACGACTATTCGAGCAACTGCCAGAACGTTCTAAGGTCACGTGATTAAATGGCGACTGGGTTGGCTCTATTGGAAGTGAGCACTTTTCCACCATCTTAAAGGCCGGCCAAGTCGCCAACAAAAACCGAAACTAATTCTCAAAACGAATAAAGTAAATAAATAAATAAAGGAAAGAAATCAAATTATTCTTGCCTCCGATCTCTCGCACCCATTAAAGCACCATATTTATCATCGATCCCGACCTCCTTCTACAAAACAATCCGTCTACCCAGGCCGCCGCTTCCTATTCCATTTCGAGCAGGCGATAACGAGATAGCAATTATTACCAAGCCTGACAATGATTAACAATGTAACCGAGCAGAATCACCAAGTCTGCGTCCGCCGAGATTCGGCCAATTCGCTAATGGCACTAACAAACGCAGTCATTACCGTATTATTTGCGTCCAGAGTAGCAACAGTGCTGTAGTATTAACAGATATTTATAACACAATAAAGTAGCAGATTTTTCAAGTAGACAAAATGGAAACACTATTCAAAATAGGAAGCGAAGTAATTGCCCGCAGAAAAGAGGATCAGACTAAATTCTATTACGGCACCTTGCTTACGGCGATGGCTGGCAAGCTCGTTCATTAGTGGAGTCAGTTCGATCCATAATGGATGCTCCAAAATCGTGATCATGTGGCATACTAAACTATCATTACTTCTTCTTCTCCCCTCTCTCCCCCTTTACCTCTCTTTCTCCTCTCTCTCTCTCTCTCTCTCTCTCTCTCTCTCTATATATATATATATATATATATATATATATATAGGACAGTTCAAGAGGAAAAATTATTATTTTCTCAACGCGTTTCGGCCTCTGAATTACTTTATATGCCTTAGATAAAGTCTTTCAGAAGACCAAACACTTCGGTTAAGAATAATTTTTCCATCTTGAACTTTTATTCATTTTATTCCTTCACACACACACACACACACACACATACACACACACACACACACACACACACACACACACACAATCGGACGTCTAACCACACTGAAGAGCTGTGATACAGCGAAACAGTCTGTCTGTGAATGGCAATATATATGCTCCCAGGATAATCCGGTTGAGCTCTCTCTCTCTCTCTCTCTCTCTCTTTTTCTCTATATATATATATATATATATATATATATATATATATATATATATATATATATATATATATATATATATATATATATATATATATATATCACCAGCACTAAATAAAATTAATTGTAACTATAGAAACAATGATTTAAAATGTCTATAAAGGCAATATTTTGGGATATTCAAATTGTATAAGAAATTGTTTTTTATAAAATTGCAGGTTGAGTATTTTTAAAACATTAATAATAGAAAAATATAACTTAAGTTACCTCCCTTCAATAATGCGCCATGCGTGATATACACAGGTGATCTTGTATCTTTCGATACATAACGGGCGAGGTAGTCTTTTTCCCGCAGTAGGTTGACATTTCTTTCTGCGGTAGACCATTTGCAATCCATGGCTATATAAGCCAGGCTGTCCCGTTATTTAGCCAAAGCTGGAGGGAAGAAGGATTTATACCTTTCCCAAGGGTATTAGTGAATGTAATGGATTCAACTGGAATTCGAACTCGGGTCTCAGATTGCTTAATCCGAGCCGCTATCCATTACTCCAACTTGCCAAATCGTACATACACTCGGCGTTAATTATTAGATTGATTTTAAGGGAGCGATTTTCATGCGCATTCACAAAAAAACAAAAAAATATGAAAAAAATAATTGACAACTATGAATTGCATTAATTTTTGTCTTAGCATTTCACCCTTGAAAATAATCCTGGATGAGATTGAAAGTACCTTAAAAAAATAAAAGAAATGAAAATAAATACGGCTCCTTCCTTAATCAGTTTTGTAACAGCACTAAGAAATTTATCCGTGGATTTGAGAGGATTAAAATAAAAATAAATGTGCTGCCTAAATATATATATATATATATATATATATATATATATATATATATATATATATATGGCCTATTGGATATGAAGGAATATTTGTAGGTTTTCATTCAGTTATGTAGAATTGGAAAATGCCTGAAAAACTGAATAAAAATTCAATATATTGTCCGTATTCAATGAAACATTAAGAAAAATGATTGCTGTCCAATGTATATATGTGTATATGCCAGCAATCCTTACATTGTTAATGGGAATATTCCTTATAAGAAAGTATACAGCATTGACTGAGCGAGCAGTCAGTGCTATTCGAGCGAGGATTTTTTTCACTCCCTGGTCTCGGTGCATGTACCAATGTGTTGTATCCGTTCCTATCTCTAATGGTAATATTAACCGTTTCCTCATAAGGAAATATTTGACGTTCATTGTCAGAACAGCCAGCGCTGTTGTCGGTTGAATTTTATAAAATCATATCTTTATTTCCAGGAAAATACTTTTCTCAATTCCACAGTTATCGTCCTTTCCAGCAGTGATAGGGGCTTCGTTCCTAACCCTTCGTTTGTAGCTGTGTGGAAAGTCACGATCTTGATTATGTGATTTTTTCTCTCTGAGTTACGTGTGATATCCATTTTAATTGTTGCTTCTATTAAGACTTCTCAAAGGATTATGGTTTCGATTTTCTGGTACAGTTATTTAACCTGCCTAAAATTTCTAAACTCTTAAAGAGGCTAATAATTTATGGTATAAAATATACTATCCAGTGAGGTTCATATATATATATATATATATATATATATATATATATATATATATATATATATATATATATATATTCCCTGGCGATTCACTTAGGTGAAACCTGGGTAGGTTTGTCTAGCTCACTAGGTTTATCTATCTATCTATCTATCTATCTATCTATCTATCTATCTATCTATCTATCTATCTATCTCTCTCTCTCTCTCTCTCTCTCTCTATATATATATATATATATATATATATATATATATATAATGTATTTAGGCAGCAATCCTTCATTTATGCATGTTTCATTAAAAACGACTGACAATAAAATACGGTTAAGCGTTTAATTTAATTTTTCTTGTGTTCGAATAAGTGCTTTCTTTTTTGGACAAATAGCGTGTAGAAAACAAAAAAGAAACCTCTTGTTCGAACACAAAATAAATTAAATGAAAATCTTAACCGTAGTACATTGTCTGTTGTTTTTAATAAAACATGCATAAATCAAAGATTGTTGCCTAAATACACATATATATATATATATATATATATATATATATATATATATATATATGTGTGTGTGTGTGTGTGTGTGTGTGTGTGTGTGTGTTGTACCGGATGTAACAACAAAATTGTCCAAATCTTGTAACAACAACAGTAATTGAACATTAATTGTTAGATTAATTTCTGAACTGTTGTATTTTATAAATGATTAGAAATATCTTACTGGAATTTACCGATGTTTTTATAATACTATTGGAGTCTACTTTGAGCACTAAGAATGTAATATTACTCTACAAGCTTAACAGAAGAATCATGATGAAATCGATCATCAATGAAAAGGACATGTTCATCATTAATTAATCATAGCCAAGGATCGGAAGCTCATGTAGGGCTGAAATTATGTTCATATATATATATATATATATATATATATATATATATATGATTCCAGTATCGTTTCCCAACTTATTCATGATGACCTTCGCCCTCTGTAATTTTCTAACATTCTGCCCTTGAGTAACAAGGTTTCTCACGGTCTTCACATATGATTTCATTTTTAAGTGTTTTTTTTTTCAATGCTCTTTGGACTGTCATAGATGAAACAGCTCTCTCACGTGCCACAATATCTTATGGATTGAGTTGGATCTGCCTTAATTGATATAGTGGGTTTGGCACAAAACGATTTTAACCTGCTCTCTTCCTAGCTGAATAACTCAAAGGGTTTTTTAAGTGATTCATACGACAAATGGTGTCAAGTGGGATAAACGTCTTATCTGAAAACCTGATAAAATAAACTCAATTAGTTTAGTGGTTTTTGGATATAAAACATTTTGTGGGATAGATAATTATACTGTTACACAATTTGGGCAATTGTATTTCTGGTCCATCAAAATGCGTAAATAATTACGCCACACTACAACATGTTTAACACGCAGACTCACTCTACACCTTTCTGACCATAGCTCAATTAGATCTCATTTAAATATTCATGGAGACCCGACAATATTCGTTATACACCGTGACAACACAAATATAATAGCATCAACTACATGCAAAAAAAAAGGGTAAAAATAATGGAAGCCTTATTAATAAAAACAAACAAACCAACACTTAACAATATTAACTTTAAACATGGATATAATATCTTGACCGTGTTTTGAAAAAAATGAAAACATTTTATAAAACATACTTACTACAAACTATTTCTTATTTTAACAGTTAAAATATAATACTTGAAAGTCGCTAAATGTATAGCCAAAAGCGATCGGATAAAAAGAACATTCGGATAGTTTTTATATAATTTATCATCAGGACAGAAAAAATATTAGATCGCATGAGAAATTGTATAAAAAACTAAATAAAAGCACCTTGTCTGTCGTTTTCAATGAAATGTGCATGAAAGAAGGATTGCTGCCTAAATGCAAATATATATATATATATATATGTGTGTGTGTGTGTGTGTTCGTATATATATATATATATATATATATATATATATATATATAGAGAGAGAGAGAGAGAGAGAGAGAGAGAGAGAGTTCAGATAATATATAATTATTTATATATCAAGAACAGTTTATGAAAGTCTATGAGAAAGTAAGAAAAATTTTTCGAGAACTTCCGCATATTAAAGAGATGTTTCCCGCTGATGTAATTGCACATGCACATAAAGAAGTGGGGGGTGGGTGGAATTTTAATTTTAATTTTTTAAGAATGAAACGCGTCACTGAAGAGCTGTGATACAGCGAAACAGTCTCTCTGTGAATGACTATATATATATATATATATATATATATATATATATATATATATTATTAATATTTTATATATATATACGAAAAATGGCGAGTTTGACGCGTTTCTTCTTATATATATATATATGTTTATTTATATATATATATATATATATATATATATATATATTAATTATTTAATATATTTTTTGTTTATACGTTCTGACATTCAGGCAAGTAAAGTAATTAATACTGTTTATTTAAAAAAGTAATTTTATTAAATAAATTGTATTTATTAAAATAACGTATAAATTCCAAATTTATTAACTAATTATCAGTCTTAATCCATTTCATAATTTGTTGTCGCTGTTTACGTTAAGGTACGTTTCGTGAGCAGATATGATCTTCGAAGATTTGTTGTTTTTAAACTGTAATTCAGACTTTGCTACCCAGACGCTTCTTTGTAGCTGTATGGTTAACAGCACATCAGATGAAATGATGGTTCCTTTACCGGGTCGAGAATTTTTCAACACCGCAGTTATCTCCCTGTTTGTGAATCCCTTTTATGTTTAATTTCATGCTACCAGTCTTTTATGCAATCCCAGTCGCAGACGCTTGTTCAGGCACATTTGTATTTCTTCATCACCCACTACTGGTTTATAATGCAACTGCTCAGTAGACCTTAGTTACAATTACTGGGAAAGAGCGCATAATCTGGCGAGATCTGGCACTGAACTAAGTTCGTACCTTTTCCCTTTCGGTCACGATGACTTCTGACTTTGTCCTATCAAAGCCATCCACAACTTCCTAAACGTTTTGTCTAATCACTTTCACTCAGAAGACTTGGGTCGAACCGTTGTATATAATTTTCAGATACTTAATCACAGTAAGAGACGTTTGGATTTTTTTCTCACGTGGCCGATATTATCTAGCTACCTCTGTTTGACAAATTGACCGTGGTCTCATTCAGAACAGGGGTTGTTGTTCGGAATGCTAGCACACACACATTCACTAAGTTTAGGTTTATTTGGAACAAGGTAGAGATATGTATAGTTTTTTAAGCAGTTTACTCCAAGTAAGGCAACAGAGTCACTAAGACGTCAGGGTTTACTGGGTGTGACAGAATATAAGAAAAAGAAAGACATCAAAGAGCAAGAACAAAAAAAGTACAGAATTTAAGACAGAAGATAACGATTGACATTACATTTAAATTTTTGAAGATCAAAGTTGACTGGAAAGCAAGAAGCCAGATGAGAATTCCACCAGCGAGAAGTGCGAGTGAAGAAACTGTTACCATAGAACTGACGGTTACATCTAACCATTTTTACTGTAAATTGATAAGATGTAGTACTGCATTTAAATTCATAAAGCCTAAGTACCATAAACGAAATTATCTTCATGATTATACAAAATGTGGCACAAAGCCAAAAGGGGAAATGCGGAAAAGGACGGTCTTCATCTGTCTTAAAATTAAACTTAGCTAGCCACGAAGACTGGCCTAAACATACCACAATATTCCTAACACAAAAACAACGCATTCTTGCTTGCCTTTCTTACTACATTCACCATAATACCTCATTGTCTCTATGAAAGTCCTTACTAATCCCCATATGTACAATAGACGGAGGTTCATCAGAGCGATAACAATAAAAGTATTTATCAAAAAGGAACAGGGAACGTACGTTACGAGGGTGGCAGAGCAAATGAAGTCGAGATGGCAGGTCAGGACCAATAACGTTGCAGATTCTTCTTTGGATTTTATCAAACATATAGCAGTAGTTACCAGATCATATATGGCAGCAATATTATAAGCATGGACAAATGATTGACGAGAAGAAAATGGTGGGTACAAGGAATCTTCCGCCATTGGTTCAAATAGAAAATCTGGTTTAAAAATAACTGTTCTTCATCACGGCTCGAACCCAGATCAATGGCATGGAGTTGAAATAAACAATTATCTGAACCACTAGACAGGCGAATTATATTAAAATTTCCAGTCTGCTCAGTTGAAGAAAGTGTTCATGATTGATTGGTGTTTTACGGTCTATCAACCTTTTGCACGTTATTTAAAGCCAGAAAAGATTTATAGATTAGATTTAGTAATACAAATGCTAATAATTAACCAATATCTTAGGAGGGAAGAAATAGATTCATGCCTTTTCCTTAGAATATTTGACAGTAATTGGATATAACACATGCAACTTGTATTCAGTTTCAAATTCCGTGCCATCCCTTACACCAGGTACACATCCAAGCTTACAACATCTGTTATTCCCAAACAGTCTCTCATCTAGATAATGATCAGATACAAGTTTGCTTAACTTTGGTGATTGTACAAGAACCAGTCTTTTAATGTGATATGGCCGTAGACTTGCGATAGCCTTCTTCAAAGCGCTAACTTTAATTTTTATCTTAGATCCACTTGTGGTTAAAACAGGAGCCCAATGAGGATCGATGTTACTATTTTGTTGCATTTAAATAAATAAAAACCCTTACTACCTCCTCCATTCCAGACACGCGTAACTTCCAGCACAACACCTACTAATTAGTGTGTCCCGTCGATTGAGCAAACAGGTTTCCAACCCTACCTCGTAAGGCGAAATCTTTAGAGGTTTTCCAATAATGCTTAGTTGGTGGCAGATCGTAAATCTCCGAGCCGACCGGCAAAGTTCGGCCAACAGTCAGGCCGGGCTGATAAGAATGACCGCTGCAAACGCTCTCATTCGTCCATGATCTAAGCCTGCTTAATACGAGCGGCGGATTTATTGCCGTATTGTACGATTGGACGCGATGACAGCGCCCGTTGTAAAGCTGTAGCCACCTAATATTTATTGGCTACGCCGGACACTAATTTCGCCTCCTTTTGCTGACAGTGAGGGCAACCGAGGAAGGTAGAGTGGCAATCATGGACACCGACGGTAAAGGCAGGCAGGCAGGCAAGGATATTGTTCACTCAAGTCTAGTAAATATCAGAATCTACGCATGCGTAAATAGAGGCGAAGGATGAGTAAAGCGGGAAGAAGGGAAGATAAAAAG